TACTCAATGAACCCAAATTCAGTAGCTCAGATTCAACCCCTCGGATGACTCGCTATCCCCAAAATCTATCTCTCGTCAGACAAGCTCGGTAGTTAGTTCTTATTCAACCCTGTTACACACTGTATTGGGGGCCAATAACGGTCGAGGAGTCGACCAGCATTATCCGCATTTACCACTGTTAATGAACAAAACGCGGAACTGTGCTCAGCACTACAACCATTCACTGAAGCTGTGAGTTCTGGAGAAAATATGGTTCAAGTAGTTTCCAACACCCCACCCCGACACCGTGAAACATACAAACACACATTGTGTTTGAGTTGAATTGACCGACTCTGGCTAGGAAGACGGCTAGTTTCGGGGGAATGATGATGTGTATGTGGTAGTTAGAACAAACGCAGACTAGTCAGAGGAGATAATGTGTTAGGCTCCCTCTCAAATAGCNCCTCTCAAATAGCTGCTCTTAGTTAGGCGCTCTTCCGTTTTTAGTTCTGAATGTGTGATTGATACAGGTGGTGAGATGTACAAACAATTTCTATTGAAACGGAAGTGGCTGATGGGGAAATTCCAGTGGTGCTGGTACTGGTTTCGGATAAACAGCCCCCCGTGACCAACAGCGCTAGATTACCGCCGCCTATCACGCTTGCTATCGTTAAAGTGGGGATCATTTGAAAGCATTTAGATGAGATGGAAATGTTTGTGATAACTGACAAAGAGCACCGGGACAGCTGTTTCGTCCTGTTTGGGACTCGTCACCTGTACGTACTTTTGTGTCCCCGTCAGGCCTCGAACCGCGGACCTTCGGGCTGGGACTTCAAACCTTTACCCCTGAGCTATATGATCGACGGTTATCACCTTGTGCGAATGGCTCAATCAATTTAGTGGTAAATGTTTGGATTAGCTCATTCGATTCGTCACCGGCACCAGGCACTGTTGATGATGATGGGTTTTTGTCGGTTATCACAAACATTTCCACCGCATTTAAATGCATGCAACTAGTTTGAATGAACGATCTCTCAAGGAGTGAAACCCACACGCCCAAGACCATCAAGAGTGCCTGGTGACCCTGAACAATCGAATAGACCAATCCAAACATTCACCATCTAAATCATTTGAAAGCCTGTATGAACTATGGTCTACAGTGAGTAATACGATAAATGCCGTTATCCGATGTGGTTTCTTCAATGTTCATACGATTATAAGGCAAAAAAACATATTCGACATAGAATAGTAAACTATGCACATCCTATCAACTCAATTGCACCGTCCTACAATAGTGCCCCAAATTTAAAAAAAAATCGTTTCAAATGACGACAATCCGTGAATTGTTCAATCTCCAAACCGCCTCCGGTCATGATCATGACTTTTCGCACAACCAAAAGTCACGTGATTAAAATTGTCCTCGGAAGCAGTTAAGAAAACTAAGGGGTGGGATGACAAGTTAGCAAACAAACTCATTTTCGGTGCCAAATCAACTGTTTTCATACAGCACAATTTGTGAAAAATTAAATAGCCGGGGATAAGAAATCAGAGTTTAAACAGAGATGATGATAACGATATTGTCCCAATTGATGATGTGGCATCTCCACTAACAATCCGTTCAAGAACTCCCTCTTACTCATTCATCGACTCACCCATACACAACCACTTTCCACGCACGCACGCACGCATGCACGCACGCACAGACACACATTATTCATAAGCATCACTTGACACGATTCCTCTCACCGCCTGTTTAATCTATGATAACCTGTGTTGTTCTTATCCAGCTTTATGTCGCACCGAAAACGAGCTTGTATGCTAACTTGTGTTCTCATAATTACTCAATCGGGAATAATTTCACAAAACCGGGAGTGATTTTTTCCAGTTCAACCAACCAATCAGTGCTATCAGTGCTAAAAGTGCTATGAAGCAGCAGCCGAAATTGTGGTCTCTACATAGAATGATATGAATGAATTATCGATTTAGAATGATGCATGTCACATGAGAAGTTATCCATGCTAACTCAATCTATTCATTCAACTTGACTCTACATTTCTTTATCCAGTTTGTTAGGTTCCAAGTCGTTCGAGTTGCCTAAGCTCAACCTCGCATCTTCCTTTCAACTGCAGTCAGATCAGAGATGTTGGGTGGTCGAAATATAACGATTTTCCGTGAAGGACATGGAATGATACATCGTCCGACAAAATATTCTTATTAATTGAATGATATTTTTCATATCGCTAGGGTATACAATTACACCGGTTTTATTTATGGTTTTATTTATGAATATTTTGGAACTAAAAATGCCAGAGTTTTCAGTATTTGGGACAGAGGGCAGAGGTCAGTAGACTAACGCAAGGCCAACCTAATGAAGTTCACACAACGGGACACAGTGCCCCCGCATGCTTTCCTCTCTCCTCCAGTGAGTAATGCTCCTACAAATCAGGGTCTATCTCAACCTTCCGGATCTTTTTAAGGTAGATCAGGTCAACTTCTGAAGCACCTATAAGCAGCTGAGAATAGACAAGCAGCTTGTAGACGACCTTCATAGCTAGTCGGTCCCACGTAGTCCAACAACGAGGCCATGGTGGCAGCACGTTGTACACGTTCCAACCTAGCCAGCTGTATATCGCGGCGCTGCCATACTCAAGTCTCGGTCTGACGTAGGAAGCGAACAACAGTTTAAAATCGTCTATCTTAAGTCAACCCAAGGATATCATCCTGGGTCCCAGAATGCTCCTCACATTTGCGCAGACTTTATCAGTTTTTTCCAGGGTTTTCAGTGCTGACGTCGCCATAACTCCTAGGTCCCTTTAGCAAGATGTTCTGCGCAATTCACTCCCTTGGACGTTACAAACCAACTCCAAATCAGAACACCCAGTATAAAGAAAAATTTTCATATGCAACCCGCTACCTCGGAGAGGAAATATTCAGTAAACTTCTTTTTTGGTAAGACCAGGACTCAGATTAATTGAAATTATTTCACCAACCACGGTGACTTTGTGTTTATGCCCTTACAGGTGGACCGGAGTTGCACAATATGAATAGACGGTCAAGGTGCCTCCGTTTTTTTCCAACGAATTCTCAATATCGTAGGCTATTTTATTCTTCCTAGTCAAATGGTCGTTCGACAACGGTTTGAAGCAAGAATGACGATTTTTTGCGATGCACTAAATATTGCAAGATAAAGGTTTGTATCAGCTTTGTATTCAAAAACATCAAGGAGAAGTGGGCAAGTCGTCATCATTGTCATCATATCGATTTACGGGTCAAATAACCATCATCATCATCATCATCATCATCATCATCATCATCCGAATCATCATCATCATCATCATCATCATCATCATCATCATCATCATCATCATCATCATCAT